ACCCTACACCAAAAAAACTGGGGACAGCATCAAACAGAAACCAACATTCCACTATAAATTAATTGGGAAGGTAGAAAATCTTGGGACAGACACAAAGCAAGAATCTCCTACACACAGAGATATCCCTGAAGAACAGACTATTCCCGGAAAGGCCTTGATATTAGTGATATAGCTACTTACTATCAAAACTCACAAGAATCATCACAGAAAACAAAATAAAAAAAATTTTGAAGTAGAAAATGTCAAGTTGAAGGAGCAACATGCAATCTCAGATCTCCAACCCTCCCTGAATGAGTCCCAGAGACATCTACATAGAAGAAATTGGAAGACACATACCTGAGATTTTGGAAATGATAGCAACTGAAGTAAAGAAACTCCAGGAAGCTATAGAGGAAATCAGATCAAACATAATCACTCACGTAAAAAAAGAAATGGTAACAATAATGAAGTCAAGTTACAAAAACAGAAGAACATAGGAAAATGATGGAAACTTTGAACAAACAATATAGGAAAGAATTATAATTCATGAAATAGATTCAAAGAGATATCCAGGAAACTAAAAATTCCATCGACAGCTAGCAAAAGCACTTCAACGAAACTGAAGATAGACTTTTAGACCCTGAAGCCAGGATTGCAGCTAGTGATCACAAAAGAAAAGATCTCTGAAAAATAACAAGGAACCAAGAAATAATTCAACAGCTTCAAGATGATACAAATAAAACCAATATAAGACTGATAGGTGTCAACAAAAAAGCAAGAGTCAACAATGAGATAAAAAGACTATTTGCAAAAGTAACAGAAAATTTCCCAAGCATGGGGGAAAAATCTGACATACAGTTAAGTGAGGCTACATAATTCCATAAATTAGCCATAACCAAAATAAATCTATACCCATACAAATAATAATCAAGATTCCAGAAATTCAGCAGAAACACAGACTATTAAAAGCTGTTAAGAGAAATGAAACAGATCACCTAAAAAAGAAAGCCCATCAGAATCAGGGCAGACTTCTTAACACAAAACATCAAGTAACAGAAGAGCTTGGAATAAAGTATGTGAAGTCCTGAGAGAAAATAGCTTTCAACCCAGATTGATGTACCCTGCAAAACTGTCTTTCAAAATTAATGGAGAAATAAGATACTTCCACAACAACTGAAGAAATTCATGACTACCACACCAACCATACAAAAAGTACTGAAAGATACACTAGAGATAAAAAATGACCACAATTCCAAGAACAATAAAAAGAAAGCCCCAAGCAGAGCAAGCAATTAAACAGAGGGGAGAAAAGTAGGGAACCAATGGCAGAAAAGTAACATGACAAAGATAAGCCAATATAGATCAGTTATAACCTTTAATGTAAAAGCCTCAATTCACTAATCAAAAGAAAGAGCCTAGCAGAAACATATTTAACTCAAAAGGAAATGCACAGACTGAAAGTCAAAGAATAGAAAACAATACTCCCTGTGACAGGAACCAAAAAAAAAGCAGGAGTAGCTATTCTGTTTGTATACAATATGAATTGGAAATCAAGAATGATCAAAAGAAATAAAGAAGGTCACTAAAAACTTGTTAGGAGAAAACTTCAAGAAGACGAGATAACAATGATAAATATATATGCACCAAACAAGGGAGCACCCAACTACATAAAACAAATATTAAAAGACATGAAAGATCAAATAAGGAATAACACAGTTGTAATGGGGGAACATAACATCCCATTGTCACAAAGAGATAAGTCAACCAGACAAAAAATTAGAAAAGAAATAACAAAACTGAACCAAACTTGTAAAGAAATGGACTTAGTAGACCTTTACAGAGTGTTCCAAACAAAACATAAGAATACACATGCTTCTCAGTACATGAGACATGCTCTAAAATAGACCACATACTAGCCCACAGAACATGCTTAAGTAAATGCAAAAGAACTGAAATCATTCCATGCATATTATCTGACCATAGTACAATGAAATTGGAAATTACTGACAAAAGAAACTGCAAAAACTCCATAAACACACAGAAATTAAATAGTACCTACTGAACAACCAATGGGTGACAGATGAAATCAATGAAGAAATTAAACAGGATTTATTATCAAAAGAAAATACAAATACAACTTACAGGAACCTATGGGACACAATGAAAGTAGTTGTCAGTGGAAAATTAATAGCAGGTAATTCTCACACTAGGAAAACATAATGAGCACAAATAACCTAATGCTGCACCTCAAGCTTCTAGAAAAAGGAAAGTCAAGCTCAAAGCCCAAAGAGGGGAGGAAATTATGAAGATCAAAGCAGATATTAATGAAATTGAGTCTAAGAAAACATAAAAAATCCATAAATCAAAGAAAGGCAAGAAAGACTCAAATTCATATACTGAGGCAAAAAAAGGGTGAAATCACTACAGAGCCTGTGGAAATTAGGAAGATCATCAATACCTACTTTGAAAATCTTTACTCTCACAGGATAGAAAATACAGAAGAAATGGACAGATTCTTAGAAACATAGGAATTACCAAAGCTGAATCAAGATGATACACAAATTCAGAATAACCCAATTTATCAGTCAGTGAAACTGAAAATGTAATTAAAAACTTACCAACAAAAACAGCCCATGTCCTGATGGATTCACAGCTGAATTCTAAACAAAATTTAGAGAAGATTTAATGCCAATACTCCTCAAACTGTTTAATGAAATTGAAAGGGAAGCAGTTCTCTCTAACTCATTCCTGGGGGCAAGTATTACCCTGATATCAAAACCAGAGAAAGACCCAACCAGAAAATAGAACTACTTGCCAATCTCCCTAATAAACATCGATGAAAAAAATCCTCAATAAAATATTAGCAAACAGAATGTAGTAAATCATCAAGATTATACACCATAACCCAGTGGGATTCATCCTAGGAATGCAGGGATGGTTCAACAAATGTAAATCAATAAATGTAATACACCATATAAACAGAGGCAAAGACAAAAATCACATGATCACCTCAATAGATGTAGAAAAAACTTTTGATAAAGTGTAACATTCATTCATGATAAAAACTGTATCTAAAATCAGAATAGATGGTCTTTACCTAAATCTGATAAAATTCATCTATGACAAACCAATAGCCAACATCATACTAAACAGACAAAAATGGAAAACTTTCAGTCTAAAATGAGGAACAAGACAAGGATATCCACTGTCACCACTCCTATTCAATGTAGTTCTGGAAATATTAGCTAGAGCAATTAAATAAGAGAAAGAAATAAAAGGAATAAGGATAGGAAAGGAAGAAATGAAATTATCATTATTTGCAGATAACATGATACTCTACATAGAAGACCACAAAAACTCCATGGAAAGACTTCTGGAATTAATAATCAAATTCAGTATGGAGTGGGATACAAAATCAATGCTCAAAAATCAATAGCATTCCTGTGAACAAACACCAAACTCACTGAGAGAGAAATTAAGGAAACCAGACCTTTCACAATCCAAAAAAATGAAATATTTAGCAATCAATCTAACAAGGGAAGTAAAAGATCTATACATTGAAAATCACAGTACTCTGAAAACAGAGACCAAAGAGGATTTCAGAAAATAGAAAGATATTCTTTGCTCATGGTAGGAAGAACTGACATTGTGAAAATGGCCACATTCCCAAAACTGTTATACAGATTTAATGCAAACAACTGAGATGGGGAAAAGGAGAAAAGAAGGAATATATAAATATACACACACACACACACACACACACACCCAAGATAGCTAAGAAAATTGTGCTACTAATTTCTATTAGTTCATTGAAAGGATCAGTTAGTGTTTATATTGTTTGATCAATCTTATATGCCTATACCTGGTAATCTAAGCAACTATTCTGAAGTTAACAACATGCAATATAATAACCATTGTTAATTTCCTATAATCTTGTCTTGAAATGCTGTATCATTTTTATTTTTTTTATTATCTTTAAAAAAAAGTGTAACATTGAGCCAGTTATGGTGGTACGAGCGTGTAATCTCAGCACTCAGGAGGTTGAGGCACGAGGACTGCCATGATTCCCAGGCTAGGCTGCACTATAGAGTTAGACCCTGCCTCAAGAAAGAAAGTGTAACACTGAATCTGGATATTGGAAACTTTTAAAAGGGCTTTTTATGATTATTAAAGGGTCATAAAAATTTAGATTGTTTTGAAAGGTTATTCACTTTTAGCTATATTTATAAGTGAAAAATGGTAGTTTACATGACATGTGGACCATATGAAAGAGACATTATGAATGTTATCTTTTCCTTTAATACTTGATTAAGGGAAGATTTATTAAGCTTCTCTGCTTATGTAAAGACCAAATCCAAATAAAATACAACTATGCAAATTCAATTATGCAAAATAAATCTTATAAAGTGTTCAGATAAGTAATCAAAAGTTACTGTCTATGTAGAATATGCTTGTTATAGCTCTTTTGAGAACACAGTGAATATTTTTGAGGTTATTACAACTAATTAAATCATGCACTTTTCCTATGCAAATATGTCATTTTGCAATGATTCTGTCTGTGTGTATTGGGGATGGGAAGCATGAGAATATATAGGGCAGATGGTTTAATGTAGCTGAAATCAATAAATGTACATGTCGATTCCAAAAAAGTAAAGAAGTAGAACATAGAATTTATGTTTTGTTTTTTTTTTGAGACTACAGTCTCACTGTATACTTCAGGATGCCCCTAAACTCACTATGTAGCCCCGGCTGGCCTGGAACTTGCAGCAATCCTCCTACCTCAGCCTCCTGAGTGCTGGGATTACAGGTGTGTGCCACCACGCCCGGCAAATATAGAATTTTATTAGATGAAAACTCATTGAAAAACTAAAAATTATTAGTTAAAATATTATTATCAAAAATTAAAAATTAAATAATGCTATGTCCACTACATAGTTTTAAGTAAGATAAAGTAATTGTAAGGCCACTTCATTATGAGACAAATAAGAACACCAAGTTTACAATGAGTCAATTTAACTGACCTGACTTATTTTCCTCTGTTCTTGTAAAGCTGTTTCAATGGCCTGAGATACTTTTTCTTGGTCTTTTGCATGTTCTGTCTTCCATAATTCCCTTTCTTCTGCATGAGCTTTTTCCAAATTCTTTCTTTCTTCTTCTATGGCTTTCATAACTATATCCTTCATTGCTTCTTGCTCTAACTTCAAAACAAATAATGATCAAAACGTAAATGTTTGAATGATTATATAACAAGCAAACTTGGTTAACCTAAAGACACAAACTTGATGCTATGCAAGATAGTTCTGAAATCCCTTTTCTATGCATATTAAATAATTATATAAAAATATTGTTCTTTTTTTATACAGATATTCTCACTTATTTCCATGGCATTTCTGCACTTCAAGGAAATCAACCCCCTTAGCTTAAGGTAGCAGATTCCAAGCCACGTGGTATTGAGATCCTTTTACAATGTTAGGTATCTCAAAGAGCTGTAGTTGATGTTGGTAGTACATATTAATATTTATCATATTATACATTCAAATCAAGAAAAATATTCATTTGACATAATGTATACTTGTTATTAAAATATTACATATTTTTTTTTTTGTTTTTTTTTTTTTTTTTTTTTTTTTTTGGTTTTTTGGTTTTTCTCCGGTACCGGGAACCGAACTCACGACCTTGCGCTTGCCAGGCAGGCGCTTTTGCTGCTGAGCTAAATCCCCAGCCCCCTAAAATATTACATATTAATGAGTAATATACATTGTGATAAATAACTATAATTTCCAATATGTAAAAAGTAAGAATTGCACTATGTAGTTTTAAAAAGGAAGAGATACCAGGTAGTCAATTTAGCTAACTGTGGATATTTTACATGATTTCATCTCAAAATTTCATAGAAGGTAGTACTTAAAGGTTGGCTGAAATAAAGAAAATTATGTCAAATGAAAATTTCATCCTGTTACATTATAATCATTTATTGTACTTTGATTTCTTTATCAATGAATAATTTTTAAATATTTGTTGTTTGATAGAGACTGATTCATTGGGCTACACATCTTCTTCTGAGAGTAATATATTTCTTCATATCATAACAAAAATTAACTTGTTAATATCATCAATCTCATTAAAGTCTTTAAGTACTACAAAGCAGTTACAGATTTTCTGTATTTTAATTTTTGTTTTAACTATCTCAAACCCTCCAACAGAGAGTCCTATTTTGCGCTTTTTTTCTTGAATCCATAATCTGAGAGTTCACAACTTGGTCTTTTTTTAAATCACTCAGTAAATGTACATGTTGATTTCATCTTCCATTTCTAGAATGTGCCTATTTCTTTCGTTTCCAACTCACCAACATTAGTCTATTTCTATGTTCATTGCTCTTACCAAGTTTTCAGATGCACCCTGTTAATTTTTTCCTTCTAGTCTTTGTAAGATCTGCCTATGCTAAGAATTTTCAACAAGTCATTCTTAGCTATGGAATTAATTCAAATTCAAATCAGAAGTTTAGTCTCCATTCAGGGCCAATTTCAACAGTAATCTGTTGTTTAAAACCTTCAGTGGCATGGGTACAATATCTATAGATTCATGACCATTCCTCCTTGCCTTATTCAAGTGACTAGGATGAGTCACTTTTAAAATAGGGTTTAAAAATCACTTTGATTTACACACACAGATAATATATACTTAATATCAAGTAGATGTTAAGTGTCCAAATATATATAGTTCTCTGTATTGTAACAGATACAATGCCATCAAAATCTTATATAATATGAGCTTAGCAAGACTATGAATAGTTACATAAGTTAAAGAGGAAAAATAAAAAAGGAAAATCCTTGAGTTTTGAGGATTAAAACATTATACAAAAGTTGATTGACAAGATTAATGAACTATACTTATTTATGAAGGAACCCATTATTACATACGGAAATACCTTTGCAGCAGACACTAATGCCTCCTTATTTTTTTGTCTTTCTTCTTCCAAACATTTTTCCAATATTTCCTGTAAATGATAAGATATTTGAAAAGACAGTAAATGTATTGTTTGAAGTAACAGAATATATGTATCCACACTGAGCACATTCAAATATTACCTTCTGTTCTTGAGATTGCTGAATCAAGGCTTCCTTTATGTTTTCTTTTAACAGTTCTTTCTCTGTGTCTAGCATTTCAAGGAGCCTTTGATGCTATAAGGAAAGATAACTGAATTATGACTATGGCTGTAAGACAACATAGAGAACAGCTGACACAATTCATTTCCCCAGAAGCACTAAATTATATATTGGAGGAAATAATCTTTACGAAGTTTGCTCAAAATGAAGGTGTAGGGACCAAAACCAGTGAACTCCCCTTTTTCCAATCACCACAGGTATATTTTAGTCCCTGAGTTCAGCAAAGTAGATGCAATGACATCTAACTTAAGAATAAATACACCAAAAAAAAAAAAAAAAAAAGAATAAGTACACCACTGGAAAATTAAT